AGCCAAGCAGAACCGGTAGCATCCCACCCCTGGATAAGAGATGAAATACAGAAAGAAGAGATCAGTTATTGTATTTTAAGAGAAAGTGATAAGTTACTGAAATTGTTTATATTTGTTATGAAAAAAGGAGAACTCTTTTCTTTATATGTGTTTCTCTGCTAGATTCTTATTTTTTCTTTGCTATTTTTCTATTTTTTCTTTCTTTTCTCCACTTTTTATTTTTTATTTTTATTTCTTTTTGTTTGTATTAGTTTTTATCTTTTAGTTGAAAATTTAAATAATTATATTTAAATAATATTAAAAAAGAACAATCCAAAGGTATAACATATCAGTTGATGATCTGACTTGCAGACAAAAAAATATAACAACACTTTCTACCTTCAGCAACTCTTCCTTTGGCTATGGAACTATGAAGTTCTCTTTCACCATCAGAACCAGCTTCATCCCACCTATATAGCACTATCTATATACATAAAATGGTACATTATAGGTGTCCAATGTTTTGGCTTGCTGGGCTTCATTGAGTGAAGAGGAATTGTATTAGGCCGCATATAAAATATATAATATAATTAATGCAAATAAATATAGTTAAAAACCACATAATAATGTTAAAAGTTTACAATCTTATGGGGCCACATTACTAGCTTTCTAGAACTGCATGTAGCCCATGGGCCACAGGTTGGACATGCTTGCTTTACAAATACAAAATGAAATTACAACAATAAGTGTGCTGGGTAGAGACCTCCTACCTGAGCTATATTAAACTCTGAAGAAGGGTGCGCCTTTATGTCAGATGCTCACACAGATCTAAGGTTACAAAAATCCAGATGACCACTATCTGTAGCAAAGTGTTATGTGAACCAGATCAAGAATAGAGTCCTAGTGGCCAGCAGAAATCTCACTAACTTCTGAAATTCACTTCCAAACAATGCTTTTCCCCAGTGACCAACATAATGTAGGCTCATAAACAAGCAAAGCATAGTATTATTTAATTCAAGCTTAGCATTTTGTGATTCATAGTGATTCATAGTGACTAATATCATTTATTAATATAAAATAAGCAATATGCAAGTATTATGAATAACATAACAAAAATCCTTATTCCGGTAGGTTATAACTTTCATGTTTTTTTTAGTTTTGTTGATTAAAGAGATGGTTATAACTTGCCACTGTGGTAAACAAAGGACAATGGACAAACACTACATGTATTGGGAGAATCTTTTCTGCACGTGTTTAATTCTCAAGAAATCCATGAGCAAAATAGGACTGGAAAGGGCCCTATTAGTGCATGGGTATGTAACTGAGACAGAAAAGTTGTTATTGTTCATCTTTACCAACAACAAATAAATGCATTATGCATATACATATGGGGTTAACCATTCAGCCCACCTCAGAACTCCTAACTGGAAATATAAGCATGACTTTATGCCACCTGAACAGCACAGTGCAGTATATATCAATTTAGAAATCAGTCTCATTGAGAAAAATCTGCATTCATTTGTTACGTCTCTTTGCAAAGTTTTGTGCGAGGGTTGACATGGTCTCTCTTTCTCTTACACACAGTCATACACACAAGAGCAAGGTACAAATTTCAATACTGCATTTGAAAAGTCTGCTTTTGTTTTCACCTCAGATCTAAGGTTCCTAACCTCCTTTCCTGCTGGTTTTTCATTAAACTTTTTTTTTTTTGGCAAATTCATTCTCACTTCAAAATAAAAATAAACTCAGTTCAAGGAATGCGTGTTCGTTTTTCAAGTCAAGGGCAGCAGAGCTGCTTCTCCAACAGACTAAGAGGAAGCCAACTACAGGGAATCCGAGACCACGGACAGCCAGGAAATGCGTGTTGGCCTAGCGCATAAGGTCTCCATAGATCAACAACAAACAGCAGGATTTGTCGGCCCTGAGTGTACACAGCTTTGCTCAACCTCTGAGCGTCTCTCCTCAAAAACAAGAAAAGATAGGCAGACAGGAGCCTGTGTACTCACCATACGGAGGGGCCTCCATCTTAGCACTTAGCTGTGTGCTTACATTGACCATTTCTCATCAGTATAATTCTGAAGAAAATGGGAAAGTGTAAAATAACAAGAAAAGAAGCTGGGCAAGGGAGGGAGGGAGGAAGGGTGAGGAAACCTGCCTTGCCTGTTATCTTATTGATTCGCTTAATCAGGCCTAATGTGGGTGGAGATGTTAAATAGTAACCAAGCTAGTATGGAAACCAACTTGCAAGGTGCCGTCTGCCACGGTAGCTATAGTGACTGCTCCCAAGCTTGAAACTCAAACATGACTTTATAGCACAATTTTGGGATTTCCACTGACACCTGGTTTCAGGTCCGAGGTGATTCCCTATAAGGAAAAATTGCTGTCCTCTGGATTCTCCCTAACAAAGCAGCCACAGAGAAGCAGCCCAGAACAGAGAAGCAGAAGGAACTCCCAGGAAGAGGTGTGAATTAGGTCAGTTTTACAGCTGCTGAGACATGGGACATTTTATTGCCCTCACCAAACAAACACGAAGAACAATGGCTTTGTGTGCAGACAAATGCAGATAGATCCCCTTGCTGTCGCTGGGGATAAGCAGCCCGCTTCTGTGGCCAGACCTGCATTTGTTTATAGGTAAAGAACAGACAGTGTGAATGAACTAGTGCCAGGCTCTGTGTAGTGTGTAAATAAATCAGGGTGTGTATGTGTGTCTGATTGTGTTTACACATGATGGAGGGCTGGTGCTACCTTTGTATTAGTTGCTTTGGCCCATTTTCAATGAGTTTTTATAAAATGTATGTGTGGCATTTCAATTATGCAACCATATACATAGTGCACGCCCACACATGCATACCCATCCATCCACAGGCATATATGAGCAATATAACCAATTTAAACTTAAAATACTGAATAAAAGTATAATAAAAGAATCACATAAAACCTAGAAATTATTTGTAACAGTCAAAGCAGCTGCAAGCCGAACTCCCCTGTCTATATTAGCTTTGATCTTAACAGGGATATTAGGATTTTTTTGTTATGGGATGGTTGAACTTCTGCTGAATGTATATATACAACTTATAATCACAATTGAGCCCAAAATTTATGTTGCTAAGCAAAACTGTTGTTAACTGCCTAAATATAGGACCTTATTTTTTCTCACCACTTAACTGCATCTTGTTAGATAGGCCCAATGTTCAGTCTGTCAAGATCCTTCTGAATCTTGAGTCTATCTTCCAAAATGTTAGAAATTTCCCCTAGTTTGATGTCATGTGCGAATTTGATGAGTTCTTCTTCTATCTCCTCATCTAGATCATTTATGAAGAAGGCGAAGAGCACTGGGGCCAAGACAGAACCACTGCATGCTTCTCTCCATGTAGATATTATATAATTCTATTCAGGACTACACGCTAAGTGTGGTTGGTCTGCTGACTGTGAATCCTTCTAGTAGCGGTATGTTCGATCCCACACTGGAAGGGAGGGAGGGAGGGAGGGAGGGAGGGAGGGAGGGAAGGAAGGAAGGAAGGAAGGAAGGAAGGAAGGAAGGAAGGAAGGAAGGAA